TCTGGTTTGCATCTTTGTTTTCTTTTATTTCCATCCCATTTTTGGTTTGCAACAATAATAAAACAAAATTCACTTTGTATTAATATTTATTTTGATTCCTCGGTTCCACTGTGTGGTGGAGTGTTGCGTAAGTTCTTTCAGCTGATCTCGGCAACCCTATTGTCGGTCAGTGCGGTTCTGCTGGTCAACCCGCAGTGCATTTCTGGAGGGCCTCTGATGTTCCTGGCTTCTCAAAAATATATTCTATTTTTCACCCTTGTTGCATCAACTGACCGTGAACATAAAGCGAAGTGGACCTTCCAGAAAGGCAGCTGATGAAGAGCAAAACGGATTCGGTTGAGTTGGGAAGTAAAAGAATACATGTGTTGACTGGGAATCACATTTACTGGACTTTTTGTCTAATAACAAACTCTGTTCACACTGTTAGTGTGAACAGCTATTGTAAATATAAGTGTGATATTAAAATGACATGAAAGAATTTAATATTTCAACCTCCTTACCCAAAAACAAGGTAAGGTGATTAGATAAAGAAGAGGTTAGTATTAGCTTAACTTTTAGTGGTTTATTACTTTATTTAACCTCTCAGCTCTCATGTCATGTCCTCATACTGCCATAATATGGCTGCTTTCTGTCATTACAATTGTCTTATATGGCCGTCTAGACATTAAGATTAAAAATAATGCTTTCTTACACTACTGTTGCTCATTATAGTACTTCTGGTAGGATTCAGGTTCAAGCACACAGAGGTTCTCCCTGGCAGCCCCGCAGTGTTATGGTTCTCCCCTTTTGGGACTTTGAGTTTTTAGTTTGTTAAATGAGTAAGTTATGTCCCCTAAAGAGCTGTTGCGCCTCGGGGCTTCCTCACGGTTCTTTTCCTGGGAGCAAGTTATTTACTACTCTTAACTCAAACTGGGTAAAATCATATAAAAAAGGACTATAAAAACAGGAGTAAAAAAGTAACAGAGTTTATTCCAGATCAGGTCATTACAGGACAGAGAAAATGCTTGGAGCTTGCACAGCTGTGGGCTCAAAAATCACGTCTGCGAGCGTCCGGCGAAGATTGAACCCCGAACAAGGCCATCTTCTCCTTCTTATAGCTCATGAGTCTATGTGTTGCACCAGGTGGATGCTAAGTTGACCGTATCAGAAACTGACATCCATCCATGCCCAAGGATTCCAGACAGCTCTCCTCTATCAGTCCGGCTCCAAGATGTTCCCATATCCTGTGTATTTTTAAAGACATGAAGGCTGTCCTGATTAGATGACCTCCGTAAACACAGTGACATCCACAATGTGAAGGAAGGCCATCTACTCTCTCTAAACCGGCTAGCAAAGTAACAATGCATGTGATGTATAAAGCATAAACCTAACAGTTTTCACTAAGTAATACAGTTTTGTTTATCTTTGGTTTATTTTCCATTTTGTGTTATATTTAAGCCAGCCTTTAGTTAATCTCTGTTGCCCCCTTGTGCCTGTCTCCTTTCCCTTTGTTACCTTCTAGTCACTTCCATCCACACCTGCTCCATATCATCTGATTATGTAAGTCTTCTGTCACCCATATATACTCTACCTGTGCGGTTCTTCAGTGCTGGTTCCTTGTTGTTGTTAGTTGCTTCCTCATCTCTGACTCCCCACGTGAGTTTCCCTGATGTTGACAGTTTTTTTTTGGTTCTTTGTATTTTGGATTTTTCCTCAGTTACTCATTAAATCTACAAGATTCACCTCATCCTCCTGGTCTCTGCATTTGGGTCCTAAACCAATCTTCAACTTACGCACCACTGTCACATCCTTTGGAAACCAGACAGTTTTAACCTTCAACATTGGGTCAAAACACCACAGGGTTATATAATATGATGAAGTCCTTAAAGTTAGAAGGGCTCTATATTATGACCCTAACTGTTTAGGGCATGCCAAAGATTTTCTACTACCTTCTTACAAGGACAAAATTAATGCATAAAAAAACCTGAAGAAGTTTAGAGATTACTTTTATATAAAATGTTGTGGTAACAAACAAAGCAGTAACTGTCATTATTTAACCGCGCTGCTCCTAAGAGCCCCACACACACACACACTTCCGCAGGCTGACACAGAGCACTTAAGCATTCCAACCAGAAAGATGTGAGGCGTTCTTCACACGCTGCCTAATTGCAGTCATGATGAGAATACCAAGAATATTTTGTGCACGCTTACTTAGTGCATGTGAGTCTCTAGGCGTATAAATTTATTTAATTTCTCTAACATAATATAGAAATAGCACTACTTCAGCTTCACAGATAAGTGTGTTGCAAGCGCAAAGCTTATTTGAACCTTTTTTACTTTAAGGAAGCATAGAGAAGAAGGGAAAAAACTATTTGAAGTGATTAAATAAAAAACACAAACCACATTACTTTTGATGAGTCAGTACGCTTAAAGAATGGATGGAAATGGAGGGTAAACTGCCAATTCATGTTTGGTAAAGTGTTCTGTTCGGTTCAAACATCACAGTGCAAGGCTGAGTTCAGTTGTGTGCTTTTCTATCCATAAGTGAATTATATTAGAAAAGATAACAATAAAACATTCTTGAAGACCCATTCTACCTATTCCTTTCTAACAATGCTTCCATGTATTTGGTCCTTCACACTTCCCTTACAGTAGCCTCAAAAACCACACAATTAAAGTAATTTAGTTCTATTGAAAAAACTCAAACATTAACTTACTGTATGATTAAATCTCCTAAATATATCACCCAAAACAATGGGGAAAAATTGCAGTCTGTGCCAAATAACTTTTTGAATCTTTCAAACTGTCAACTTTAGCCAATTACCGACAGATGAATGACACTATAAGGCCTGTTCAACTAAAGGAAAATGTGTCTAAAGTCATGTGTAAACACGATAACTGGTGTTTTGTCAGATCATCATACTCTGTCAGACCAGCATACCTATAGTCAATATGCTTGCACAAGAAGTCAGATTTGCGTGTATCCCTTTAGTCGTGTACAAAAAAACAAAACAATTTAATGTCAGATCCCCATACTCTTCAAAAAATGCCAAAAAGTAAGTTATTAAATTGGTTTTTTGTACATGACTAAAGGAAAACATGCCCGTTCAGGTAGTTCAAAGTGTATTTTATGTACAAAACTAAAAGGATAAATGGGTATTGACTATGGGTATGTTGGTCTGACTGGGTATGCTCATCTGACAGAACACTGGGATTGTGGTTAGTGGGCAAATAGCTGCAATGACCGACAGAATAAAGTTAATATTTTGTGGGTGTCAAGATATTTAGACTAGATGACACTAAAGTCTAATATAGAACCAGTTAAAAGGACACGCTATGACATATCTATCAGGCCAAAGTTTTTGAGAGTACTTCTTGAGTATTTATTCTTGAGTATCTATTCATAAAAAAAAAAAAAATCTTGGGTGTTGAGGAAGATGATGTTAACCATGTTTCATGGTGACAATGCTTTCTGAAACATAGACAATGACTATGTCTGGTTGTGACAATTGAAATGATCGTTGATTTATTTTCAAATTGTTTGTTTCAACAGAGAATGTTCTTTTATCTTATATCTGCCTGCATCATTTATTCACGTTATGTAACGATCTTGGTTCTGTTGTTTTTCTTTAAGTTTTCAGTTTCAAGTTTAGCCAGGTTTTTCCTTGTTTTCTAGCTTTATTGATGTGTCTGGATTCATTTAAGTTGCTTAGGTTTTTCTGTCTGTCCTCTGCTGCCTCCTTGTGTTCTTTTCCCTTGGCTTCCTCATCAGCTCTAATCACACCTGCTCCCTATCAGCTCATTAGCCCTACCTTTGTTCAGTCAGCCATAAATACACTCCCTCTGCAGTCCCTCTTTGCTGGTTCCTCATCTTATTTCATCCTACCCTGGCTCCTCATGACTTTTCCCCCCTGATGGTTAGTGTTCAATTCTTATGTTGTTGTTTTTGGATTTCTGTTTTGATTTACATTTTTAAGTTGGATTTTTGGATTCCTGTTTTTGCTGCCTGATTTTTCGTTAAACCTTCCAAGATCTCACCCCTGCCTCTCAGCTTCTGCTTTTGGGTCCAAACAAAAACCTTAAAACCAAATCTTGACACGTTATACTTTTGCACCCATTATCAAATGCGCTCACTTTTAGGAGATAACTCACACCAGCTAATTACACCTGCAGTCATTTGTTCATACAAGAAATTATGTGCCTCTTGTTTTGAATCTTACTAAATACGTCTCATAAAGTAATAAGTTGCCGGTGAAGAAATAAAAAAAAATGGTTTCTATCCATTTTCCAACAATGTTTTTGGAGTCATTGCTTGACTAAAATATTTTTGCTTTATGACATAATTATATTTCTAAAAGATATTTGTGTTGCAGTCTGCGCTAATTAGTGTAGCAAAGGTCTGAGAGTTGCTGGGTGAATGAGACTTTTCATGCAGAAGCATATGAAGGTTTTAATTTAACTAGAAAACTATCAGTTCAACCAAAGTACATGGATCATGTCCAATGATTAAAAACATACTTCATATTTCCATACCTCCTCTAGGCATTCTGTATCATTTAAATAAAAAATATTTAAATATATGACTGAGTATATTCTGATACTTGACCACAAAAAGTTATAAACATCACTAGGATCATAATTTACAGCAACAAACCCTTACTGGACAGCTTTCCACTGCTTTTATACGACGAATAAATGGTTCTGGATCATTAATTTCTATCGATCTCTGCTATTGGTCACTTTAAATGGGTCATAACGATGAAATGTGCTTTGGGAGGTCCTTGTCTGCCCTGTGTTTAATGCTTTCACTTTATGAGCTCTAAAACTCTAAATAGATAATCAATCCAAGGTCGACCGCCTCTTAAGATGTAAAAAAAAAAGTTTTTGAACTTTAAATTGGCCCGCAGTAAATGTTCATGTGTAGTCACAAAATGCATTTATGTTCATTGCTTGTCCATTTAAGCAGGGGAAGAAGTATCTGTTTTTATTAAAAAGGAAAAAAATCTTCTGCTGTCTTTCAGGTTGTCATGGTTGGCTCGTCCATAAATGAACGAGATCAGATGCTATTCATCAGCACAGACGAAGGCTCTTCCTTCCAACGACAGGCAGTCGCCTTCACACCAGAGACGATCATCTTCCACCCAAAGGAAGAAGACAAACTGCTGGCATACTGCAAGGACGGAAGGGTGCGTATTACAGCCCTGCAGCGGAGATCGAAAAAGGAGAAGGGAATATAAAATACACAAAATTTTTCCTGCTTGAATTTCTGCACAATACCAAGCCTTATATCATGATTTTCAAAACCCTTTTTGCAATGATATATCTCCTTTGAATCTTTCAGCTGAGCATTTGTGACATGGCTGTTTTGTTCACAGCAAAGTGGGAATCCTGCTAGAACAGTGTGAAGAGACAAGAAATATGAGCAGCGGGCAGTCTGGCATGCTGCTAATTTTGTAACATTTGGCCTGATTATGTAAACTGCTCACTTGATACATGAACTGAAAGTGAACAGTACACATTTGATTAACCACAATGCCCCAATATTCTTAGAAGCATTTTTCTAACTATTAATTGGTTAAAGGAATAAAGGGTCTCAGAATCCAGAAGAACACGTGGTGTTTTAACCCGATCTCTCTTCCTCACTAAGGTTCAGCATCTCATTAGAGTGAAATTGTCAGTTAAAATGCAAGCGTTAAAGCAGGCTACTTAATGGTGACAGATATAGGGCACGGAGGGATCCTCAGGTGCTGATTAATGAATGTGCAGGCGCACTTCCACGGCACATAATAATGTGGCTTCTTAGCTCTAAAAGTCTTCAAATGCAGTTTTAGTTTTATGTTATTTGTAGCTGGGAGGCATAGCAATCGTTCAATGACTGCTACGCAGAGGCGGCTCTCCTAGATGAGACCCGTCTTTATTAAAGGTTCTGCATCTCTTTCTGATCTAAAGCTAAACCTTGTGTCATCATATCAGAGGCTGACATATAAAGTTTGTCACTTTCAATTTCTTTAAGAGTTAAAAAAGGGAAGTCATCATCATGTCTTCGTTGACAGCAACGGGAAACCAAAGTGGAATTCCTTGCCGGTTCTGAAGCTGATTTGATCCGGACATAATGTATAAACCTTTCTAACCTTTATTACAGTACAACCTTGATTATTTTAGTAAAAGTAGAAGTATTGTTAGAAACCATAACCTAAACTTCAAATGATGGAATTGAGCGAAATTCCATGTCTTCTTTACAATGGAGCTGATGAATAATTATATGCCAAAATGTACATCGGTGTAAAAAATCTTAATTCATTTATTTAAATGGTCTACTTTGTTTGTAGCACTGTTGCCTTGCAGAAAGAAGGTTCTGAGTTCAATTTCTGGCCCTGGATCTTTCTGCATGAAGTTTGCGTGTTCTCCCTGTGCATGTGTGGGAACTGTGGGTACTCCGTCTTCCTCTCACAGTCCAAAAACACGATTGTTAGGGCCTTGTCACACCTTGCCAATTTAGCCAGCATATGACTGACCCCTAGAATCTCCTAAAACGCTGGCATACGCTGAACTTTCTGTTTTTTTGTTTGTTTTTTTTCAATTTTGGGTGTACACATAGAGTAATCATAATGAGTACAGAACTTATGTCCAACGACAGCCTAACTTATGGATAACGCACGACACCGTAATGCCCATGAAATGTCACAAGTCAGTGTCCTGAGGAGAGCAGTGTTGGACCTGGAGGCGCCTGGTCTGCATAAAAAGCAGATTCAGCGTCATGTCTGCTGGGAGGTTTGTTGGTGGTGGGCGTGAACGCAGGGAGGATCCATCACGCTCACCTTCTGGCTCACCTTATGATGGGGATGAAGTCTGGAGGAGAACTTACAGTTTCCTCCTGTGAACCCCTTTTATACCAATACGCCATTATACAGTAGCTGGAAGTTAGAAACACATTCTGCGATCGTCTGGAACACGTCAAATACGTTTGTGTTGCAGACAAGTTCTTAATAAGTTACGCACAAGTTATGCACAAGTTACTCATAGGTTTCGCATAAGTTAGATGCCACGACTTATAAATAACTTACACTTAGTGTGTGTCAACGATCAGATAACTTACCTGTAACTTATGGCCCACATAGGAGAATATTCTGGCATACGGCGGGAAATTTTGAGCATGCTAAAAATTTCTCGACATACTCGCCATATGTCGGCATGCTTTAGCACACTTCATCGTGCTCATAACTTACCAATAACTTATCCAACGTATGCCAACCTTTTGTGCCACATTCTTCGTACATCTGGCTTAAGCTGTGTCATGATTTTGTCAAGTACTCTGACCCACATGCAGAGAACCAACACAGTGAGACCAGGGAAATGTTTAATAGGTTTATTGAGAAGGATGAGATGAGTCCAGTGTAGCTCTGAACACTGTTCAACTGGAACTGGAAAGTGAGGGGAAGACACTGCGGTCAGTTAAGGCTCAGTGGGGAATTTGATACTTGAAGAGGAGAAATAGGTAACTGACTCACGTTTCCAGAACATGGTGTCTCTTATTTAATCAAGTCGGTGCGGGTTGTTCCAGAAATTGGTTTGCTCGTTGGAGGGTGGACAGGGTTTACCGAGGTTAAGTTGTTTCCTTGAAGAACGGAGGAGCTGACTGCCAGTTAGATTTCCTTCGGTACTTGAATGGATCTTGTGGAGATGAATCCCCTGCTCAGTGTAAAGCTCAAACAATCCTTTGGGGAAAAGTATATCCAAACCTCCAGTTTGAATCCCCAGCTCAGTTTGAAACTCAGACGATCCTTCCAGGGGGAGAAGGTCCGAATCATCCAGTTTGCTGGATGACTTCCTGCCAAGAGGCAAAGACAAAACAGCGAGGTTAAAACTCAGGTAGACAAAAAACTCATTTTGACTCGGCAAAACTCAGCTTGGCTAGAGTACCCAAAACTGGCAAACACTCTGGCGTCGAGGTAGTGGCAGTCAGCAGCTTAAGAGTCCTCCAATAATGAGGTAACCTTCGGCAGGTGTGTGAGGACGCCAACCGGAACCAGGCGTCGCCTGGTGGAGGAAGGAAGACAAAGACAAACCACACAGACTGGATTCCTAACAAGCTGTCTAAATTGTCAAGGGGTGACAGGGGCTTTAGTTTAATTGGCATCTTTAAAATGTTCCTAGGCGTGTCTGTGTGTGCATGGTTGTATGTTTGTATTTTTCTCTATGTTGCCCTGCAATGGATTCAGGTGATGGATGGATGGATGTAACGGACTTCTTATTTGTATCAGTATACTGGAATTAAATCTTGTAATACCATACAGCTCTGCAAGGATGGAACAGTGTTCACCGCTGACCTCTCTCCAGGTAACTGGTGAAGCTAAGACAATCAGGGCAGCTCATTAAGGCGGTCTAATCCTTTGGTGCCTCCAAGTGATACACAGACCGTTTAGCATGTCAGTGTTCCCCACTGAATACCCCATATGGGCAGTTTAACATTTTGCCATTGCCCATATACCACACTTAGAGTATTTATCTACTACAACGGTAGCCTTTTTTCTTCTTACTGGTGAAATCTTCTGTTAGCTTCACTTTCTGATTTAGCTCTCACATTTATGGCTATAATTAGGTTGAAATATCCAGAAAATAAAGGGTTCCAGGCAGTCAGCAGATGGATATGGAACATCCAATCCAAATATTCTTGTTAGAAGTATGTCTATAGTTACAACTCCTTTTAGAAGGGGGTAAAGCCCACTTTCAGGTGGTAATAAGGAAAAGGTGGAAAAATGGTGTTTGTATTTTGTTAGCGTATGATAAATATAACAAGATGTGTGATCAAGTCTTTCATTCTTTCTCTGTTATTTACAGGTATGGAGGATAGTATGAAATCAATAGAATTTCATCAAAGCAGCAATCAATGATTCAACCAACCTGCATATTTTTACCAATGTGTTGTCCAGAGAATAGTTCAAAAAGACTGAAGCTCATGCACACACACACACACACACACACAGACCTCATCTTTTATGATTAATAATTAATTGAGTTTAATCTCGACTTGGTGGACCATGAAATTCTGACCCTTGATTTGTCGATTTTTTTGTTTTCTTTTTATTTTCATTCTCACCCAGACTCCCAATTTAACCTCAATTATGAGCCATAGAGTTGGTAATAAGGTGCAGGTTATGGTGGTGATTAAAGGTAAAAGCATTAACTGTTTATTTTTTCTGTCTAAATGTGATCTCCTCTCCTCTTTTTTGTGTCTGTCCAGCTCTTTGCTTCCACCGATCTGGGCCACAAATGGACCTTGCTTCAAGAGAGGGTGACCAAGGACAAAATCTTCTGGTCAGTAAAACATTATACTCGCTATAAAATGCGTTCTCTGTAGGGTAAATGGCATGTGCTTATATAGGGCTATATATTTCAGGGTGTTAAGAATCAGGCTATTTTATATACTTAATCTGGTCTTTAGTTTTTAAAGCGATTTCAATAAAACCTTAAATCTTTAAAAAACATACAATAAATTCAATGCGGTCATCATATTTAAAAAAAAAAACAGGCTAAGAAAAAGAAACTACGGCTTTAGTTAAGAGGCAAGGTAGCCTCGTTCATCGGCTGATATTCAAAAGTGTGAGTTTTGCTGTAAAGCATAGAGGCTGGTGGTTTTCTCCTCTGGACCGTCCAGGTGTACGTTTACCTAAAACCAAGAAGGAAATCAAACCACTGGAAACTTCATCACAGAAATAACTATGGCTACCAGTCAGCCTACAAAGCCCTGAAGCATTTTTCCTACCACTTTGAAATCCACAATGCTGCATTTTTCACAGGAGTAAAATACATTCTTCTCAGGTATGGATGTTACTGATATTTCACCCAAAGGTCCACACCATACTTTATGCTCAGATAAATAACAAACAAAACCTAGGACTCCACTGCAGCCTCAAGCCAACATGTTAAACATTAGAAAGACAGAAAAAAAGACACTTTTGGACTGGATGCAGGTTTCCTATTTCTAGAGGATATTCCTGGTCCCTCTGCCAACATCTACATGCTGTCTAGATTCTTCTGACTGCTCTGAATGTGCATACAATGGCACTACCGTTTAAACAGCGCTGCCTACCATATGTCAGTCATAGAAAGCTTTAAGTCTGATCACCTGCAGAGGAAGGAAAGTGAAAATGATGATTTTAACAGAGAACCAGAAAATCTGCTTTTCCTTTTTGGATAAAATTAACTCTTTGGGAGTCAACAAACAGAAAACATTGTTCTTCTTATAGTGGAAATCTATTTATGAATTTCTTTACTGAATCATTCCAGAAAAAAAATCTGGAAAACAGTCATTCTGACATTCTTCAATTTTTCATGTAGGCAGCTGCTACGTGCCATCATCAATTCCTTTCTTTTTGGAGCTGTGCACACTTTGACAATACTGTTTTGAGCTTTGAGTGGAATGCAGGGTTCAACTACAACTTTTGGCCTTAAAACCTAAAGTCAGTTTTACAGTTATCTGGAGGACCGTATTTACAAAAACTGCAAGACTGTTTTGGTAAGAAGAGACTGAAATACTAATGTTTGGCCATTAAAAAAAACTATGTATATCAGCAACTCATTGCAACTTTCAAGCAGATTGCTAGATTGCTAGCACCAAAGTATATAGTATATCTGATGTAGATCCAGTTGTTTATGAAAAATTAACATATTTTTGTTGTTTTTTGACCACATGATTGCTTCATACTTACCACTACTACACTCACCGGCCACTTTATTAGGTACCCCATGCTAGTAACGGGTTGGACCCCCTTTTGCCTTCAGAACTGCCTCAATTCTTCGTGGCATAGATTCAACAAGGTGCTGGAAGCATTCCTCAGGGAGTTTGGTCCATATTGACATGATGGCATCACACAGTTGCCGCAGATTTGTCGGCTGCACATCCATGATGCGAATCTCCCGTTCCACCACATCCCAAAGATGCTCTATTGGATTGAGATCTGGTGACTGTGGAGGCCATTTGAGTCCAGTGAACTCATTGTCATGTTCAAGAAACCAGTCTGAGATGATTCCAGCTTTATGACATGGCGCATTATCCTGCTGAAAGTAGCCATCAGAAGTTGGGTACATTGTGGTCATAAAGGGATGGACATGGTCAGCAACAACACTCAGATAGGCTGTGGCGTTGCAACGATGCTCAATTGGTACCAAGGGGCCCAAAGAGTGCCAAGAAAATATTCCCCAAACCATGACACCACCATCACCAGCCTGAACCGTTGATACAAGGCAGGATGGATCCATGCTTTCATGTTGTAGACGCCAAATTCTGACCGTACCATCCGAATGTCGCAGCAGAAATCGAGACTCATCAGACCAGGCAACGTTTTTCCAATCTTCTATTGTCCAATTTCGATGAGCTTGTACAAATTGTAGCCTCAGTTTCCTGTTCTTAGCTAAAAGGAGTGGCAACCGGTGTGGTCTTCTGCTGCTGTAGCCCATCTGCCTCAAAGTTCGACGTACTGTGCGTTCAGAGATGCTCTTCTGCCCACCTTGGTTGTAACGGGTGGTTATTTGAGTCACTGTTGCTCTTCTATCAGCTCGAACCAGTCTGGCCATTCTCCTCTGACCTCTGGCATCAACAAGGCATTTCTGCCCACAGAACTGCTGCTCACTGGATGTGTTTTCTTTTTCGGACCATTCTCTGTAAACCCTAGAGATGGTTGTGCGTGAAAATCCCAGTAGATCAGCAGTTTCTGAAATACTCAGACCAGTCCTTCTGGCACCAACAATCATGCCACGTTTAAGTCACTCAAATCACCTTTCTTCCCCATACTGATGCTCGGTTTGAACTGCAGGAGATTGTCTTGACCATGTCTACATGCCTAAATGCACTGAGTTACCGCCATGTGATTGGCTGCTTAGAAATTAAGTGTTAACAAGCAGTTGGACAGATGTACCTAATAAAGTGGCCGGTGAGTGTGTGTGTGTGTGTATATGTATGTGTGTGTGTGTGTATATATATATATATATATATATATATATATATATATATACACATATGTCATAGTCATTATCTATGACATATTATAGTCATATTAATTATGACTATAGTCATATTAATAGTCATATTAATAGTCATATTAATTAATAGACATATTAATAGTCATTGTCTGTATCATTATATTTAGGCTTCCTGAATCACTTTAGGACCATGGATTTTTAAAATCAAGGTTTAAAATCTGCATGGTAGAAGCTTTTTCAGTGTGCTTTTGATCGTTTGAAAACAATATCCTTTACAGAAATAAAGCTTTGAGTGTTGTACTCGAAAATGCATCATTCTTCGTGGCGCTGCTGCATTTGCAACAATAAGACAGATTTGCAAAATATTCAGTTACAACATAATAGGAGGAATCAAAAGAAGTGAAATGTTACTTTGATCAAACAGGCCATTGTTTTACACACTCTAAGACCACAAAAACACAGTTTTATTTGTAAAGAACTGTTTCATATTGAAAACAATGAACAATGAAAACTGAACTGAAGCAGTCCTTGTTGTTAGCCTCCTTTATCCCCTAATTGATCATAAAGTGTATTTAAAGCGAAAGTAACAATGTTTTCATTCTCCGTCTATTCAGCCAATGAAAACGAACTGATGGAATCTGCAAGATTTAATCAAATCTATTTTTGATTTGAAAACTCACAGAAAGGCTTCTGATGTGAGCAATGGTCGAGTTGTAAAAAAATAAGAATGGGGACGGTGGAATTATTTTTTTTTTTTTAGAAGCCTAATTAATCTAATCTATTAACGTAAAGCAATATGCATCTTATGGTTGTTACATGTCAGGTATGCCAGTCATTGGCCTTGACCAAGGTACATTACAGTAGAACTGCAGTCTGTCCCTGGACTGGCATGGCTATCACTGCCCCTACAGAGTTAGCGACTAATTTCCCACTGGGATCAGCTTCATAGTCATAGTAGGCCACTTCTTTGATTTTACTTTGATAAATCTTTGGGCAATTGATCTCTTAAGATTTGGAACAAAACCTCACAAAACATTGCCGATGAATATCTAAATCCTTTCAAGTCAAGTGTTTTTTTTAATTCAAATTCAATTTGAAACAGCTGAAACAATTTTCAAAATGTGAAAGAACTGCTTATAGATTTGAAATACATTCAAATTAACCTGAAAAATAAATAAGCCTATAAAAAATCTAATAATCTTACTCACCTTTCAAATATTCATTTAGAGTTTTTATGTTATAAAATATGATGTTTATCAGAAAATCTAAATTGCTTGACATTTACATCACATTTGGCAGTTCTTTCAAGATAATAATCTTAACACGTGTCTTAAATTGCTTAATCAAAATGCATTTTTCAAACCTTCAATTCTCTCCTTCGGGTTCCTACCATGCTCCACTTGTCTCACAAGCTTCTTCTAGATTCTGGCTGTAACCTAGCAAAACAGCAGAGGCCTACAGATTAATTTTGTTTGATTCACAACCAAAATTCAGATTTCTAATGTTCAGCAATGCCTGTACACTCTGGACAAATTCCTTGTGGTATGACAACTGTAAAGAAAAAAAAAAGTGCTTCAAACTAGTTTACCTAGTTTTTCATGCTATCATTATGTCCAGAAATGAGGACTTCTACATATTTGGTGACACAATGGTGAGCTTATAAAAGGTGATGTCGTCTGACTCTTGACTTCACTCAAGTGTTAGTTCTTGCCTTCTTAAAAGTCCATCATATAGCGCTGTCTTTGCCGCTTGGCCATGATGGTGTTCAGAACATCGTAACCCGCTCCGCTGGTTGCGCCACTGAGGTCAAAAAGGAAATCGCATGGGCCCTGTGGGCCACCGTAATTTGGTCAGGCTACTCTGAAACGCACAGCCTGCCAAATGTTGAGAGGGCAATATTATTGCTAATAATGTTAATATATAGTAGAAATGTACACATTCAGCAATAAAATGTCCCAGGGCATGGTATGGGAGGATGGGTATTTAAGAAGGGGGATGATTTTTTAAGATTTTTTTTTAAGAAGGGGGATGCTATCCCCCCTCAACTCGAGTACTAGATGTGAGACAAAATTTTTCCTTTAATTTTAAAATAAAGCAAACTTGAAGTTTTGGAAGTTTCAACCTTCCCTTAAGGTAAATCTTTGTTTGCTCAGGTATGCCCTTAGGGCGGTTCACAAGAAAGCTTTGAAGTGCTCCTATTTATTTATGATTCAGCTTATTTACTTCTTATATAATCTACTGGGATTAAAGTATCTTTTTAATTGCCTGTTTATATTTAAAGTCAGGATAGATATTTTCTGTTAGATGATAAGTCTTGGTATAGCCATCTTCAGACTGTGGATTAGAAACTAGATGGTGCATAACAGGGTTGAAGTAGCAAAAAGCAAAATTTAAACTGTCTTTTGGGTCTTATTGAAAGGAATGACACTATTTAAACCTTGTATTCTAAGATTCCAAAAACAAGGGCAGCAAAATAACACATATATTTTTTTTCTATGATGTGCAATAAGTAGGCTTGTTGTTTGTGACCAAAAAAACTACTGTGCCAATGTAGAGACGTGCAAACTGACTGACAACAACTTTAATCTGTATGTTTAAGATGCAATCTGCACATTTTAAAGGGCCAGCACCAAAGAAAGATGAGGTTCTAAGCCATTTAGTAGTATAGTATTCATGACCATCAAAACATATGCATTACAAAAAAGAAAATACCTATAATTGAGGTAAAAACATAATATCATCAAACATTGCTATATTTTACTTTAAACTATTTATATTGTAAATACCAATATTGTAACATTTCATCTGACAATATTCTTATTAATAAAAAATTTGGCCAAATTAATATTATTTAAAAAATTGCAATACATCGTCTTTGTTGTGTATCAGATATTGGAATGAACCATATTGCGACACATGCCTCAAAATTCTTGCAAATTCACTCCCCTCCTTATAAGACAAAATACTATAGATAGAACACGTTACATCTTTATATCTCTCAGTGCTGCAAACAAATGTAAAAGACTAAATTATGAAAATAAGTAAAGATAATCAAATGGGAAAGGTGTCTTTATCTGTATATCTGTGCTTCATGCTTATGTTAAAGGTATAGTGGAGGATGTTCTTTTTCCAGGTGGATCATCAAAATAAGTGGTTCTCCTAATTGTCATCATTATGCTCTAAATTTGTACCTGAAGGTTCCTATGTTTTTCTGTCATATAGCATGGTCTTTGACCGCATTCTAAAATTTGCATAATGCTTTAGTTAGATGTTAAGAATTTTTTTTTATTAAATCAGTGTTGAAACAGCACCAATCTCACTATAAAATGTATTCTATAAACTATAAATCTATAATAATGTCTTGCCTTTTCCCCAAAATTGTGCTACAGCACTTTATTGGCAGTTCTTTCTTCTTTGTGTCCTCTTCCTCTCTATTACCCTTGACTGACTCTCTTGCTCCATTTTATGGGGAGGGGGCTCAACCTGTGGAATATGCCTTTGACTGACAGCCTTAGAGATAGTAGCCCATCTATAATACCCTTTTGAAACCATTCCAAGATTGGTCCAAGCATGGTAACCAAGATAACTGTTCTTTGTAAATGGCACGCACAACTGAACCAAACCGCGCCAATATGGTACAAGTTCATCAGTAGGGCTCGGCATTGTTCAGTTCTGACTCTGTTCTTGGATAACAAAGAGCTCATGAGCAGACCGCTTCCTTTACTTACAGTCAGACTCCATATTCATGAAATTTCAGACATTCATAAAACTACTAGCTTTCCTACCCTTCCACAACCAGAGATGATTCTGCTTAGCAGTGTGATGTACCTCAACGTCCGTTGTTGTTTCCTGGGTTTGTAAGCCTCGATTAGACTATTGTTTGTCGTATCCACTTCCCATAAGCTGACCCTGTCAAGCAAATTCACAAAAGGCTACCTTCTTTGCCAGACTCTCCGCAAACTTCCTAAATGTTTCATGTTGATTTGCTTGTTTTCCCCCAGAGAGCAGTAGTACCATAGATCGCCACTAGGAGGCGAGGAACTGTCCTACCGTGGTGCGTAAATGGTCGTAAGGAATCAAGCTAGGCACGGTTAACTATTCCAAGCTTGGTACAGATCGTTTTTCAGAAGTTCGTGTAAATTGAATAGTGAACCTTCTATTTTCTCGGTGCTGTTGCGGGTACTGTTGGGATTATAGTAAGGCTGATACCCAAGTAAGACAGGCAAGGATTGTTTACTTACAAAAATGAAGCAAAACCCAAATAGAGCCAATGATCCTTCCTGCTCTGCAACCACAGAGCTGGCCAAGCCAGCAACCAGGCTACAGGAAAACATCCCGGTACTCCTAATGGTCAGTCCATCTTATGACCATCGTCATAAAGTACACATACACAATTGAAGTGCAGCATTGGTCTCAGTAAGGTAATTAAAGTTACTGAGGCAAAAGAATAAGACTTTTAGAGTATATGCTTTTAGTGTATGAAATAAGATCTACTGTTATCTAAACCTAAAAGATCAGGAACCTTCTGTATTAATGTATTTCTTTTGTGTCTTTTTAGGTCTGTATCCGGTGTGGATCTGGATCCTGATTTGGTGCACATGGAAATGCAAGATTCAAGTGGAGGTACTATTATGTATCTTTATTTTTTATCAATATGCTAACTGATCACTGCCACAGAAATCCAAGTATCCTCTGATGACATTCAGGTCTACACTCAACTTATGTAATTTCTTTCGATTGCTCTAGTTTGTTTTGAAACTGTGTATTTTGGTGATTTTTTTCTTTTAAATTAAGTTTCATGACATTGTAATATCACACCACTTCTGAAGGCTGAACTAAGTCTAAAAACCTCAAGGCCAAAAAACACATTTTCACAGCAGCATCATCAGGCTCTGATTTAGATTAACCCTCACTGAAGTGTGAACACCCTCATCTGCATAAACAGTGCATTTAAAGTACAGTAGCAGCCATTCAAAATGGCCCTTGCCAGTCAAAAGTTAGCAAAATCCCCTCCAACTTCTGGCCACTGGAGTGACCCCCACCTTCTCCAGGGCATGCATATTTTTTTACTCTGACTCCACCATTTCAATGAATTACAGGGTCTGACCAGGAGATAATGCTTCTCTTTAGATCTTCATGTCCACAAATCATGACAGAAAGAATATTTCAGATGTGTAAAAATTGTAGGGTAATAGCCAAGGATCCATTATGGACAGTGGGGGAATTTTGAATGGCTACTACTGTAATGGCTATCTGCAGAGGGCTTTCTTTTGCAGTTATCTTCCAAACACTCATGTTTTTATATAGGGAGGGGCTTCCGTTCAGAACTTATGAGAATTACTTAGCAATCCATTAATCAAGTAAAAGACTACAGCGTGAATGATTTTGATAAAGGATTAGCAATATCTCTGCATAATGATCCTACTATAAACATAAATAAAAGTTGTCATATGTGGATGCTCTGTATACTGAATGCACCTTTTTCTTCCGTTGGCATTCTGTAAAAGTTTAAAAAACAATCCACTGGACTTGGTTTCCAAGATTTGAAGATGTTTCGCTACCTCTCCAGGCAGCTTTTTCAATTCAAATGTCTGGGTCCGCAGACATTTGAATTGAGAAAGCTTCCTGGAGAGGTAGCGAAACATCTTCAAATCTTGGAAACCAAGTCCAGTGGATTGTTTTTTAAACTTTTACAGAATGACTATGACCTGGATGACTGAGAATCTTCATCAGCATACTTCCTTTGGCACATTCTTCTCCTTTGACTATTTGAGCTGATGTAATGAGTAATTTTCTCCCCTGTGAGATCCATAACGTCAATGAATCAATCAATTAAAGAATAATTACAATCTCAAAAGGTTTTGATTGTATTTTGTAATTCTGGGGCCTCTGCCCCTAAAAATGCTGGTGGAAGATAAGAAGAGTCATGGATACAGTAATACAGTACGGTATCTCCTTTTTGACAGCTAACAAAGTAATGTAAGCATGAATAGAAAATTGTAAATATCCACCTCTGTATTCATTATTCATGTTAAGCCCTGCAAGCAATATTCCCCATCTGTGAATCAGCTTGAGTTAGGCAGACCCAGAATGAAAAAATATGGAGAGCATGAACAAAATCTATTTTTAAGTAAATACCCTAAACTCCTCTGTTGAATAATACTTACACCTCCCTAAAAGCCGAACCTCTTGAGGAGAGTGCCGTGGAATCTGTCAGGCTGAACAGGGACTGCCTGTGTTAGCCGAGTATGAAGAGACGAGGACGTCTGTGCGGGCCAGCTGCCCAGACATGGAAGCTCTTCCTGGTACTAGACACTGCCACATGGTCATCCTTCCCTTCACTTTTCATCCCTTTCCTTCAGTGCAAAGATAGATGCAGAGTCAAAGGGGCTGGAGCAACCAGGTATGCAAAACCGTTCTGTTCAGTCCTCTAGTCATCACAAGGTTAAAGGAGGAGCGAAAACAAAGAACAGAGAATGGTGGTGATTGTCTGCGGTATGAGGAGGTGTGGCCTTTTTCACACCCTGGACCACTCGATGACAGGGGGGAACAGGACTCCAGAGAAACTAAGATGATCGATTGATGGATGAGCCATGTATGCTGCGGGGGCTTACATGGAGAATAGCTATGCATGTGTGTCATTAGGGGGATTGTTGTGCAGGGAAGCATGATTGTGCCATATTCATGCGTAGATACATGGAAGCATGCTAACCAAGCACACACAGACACACACACATTTCCCGGAGGTTTAGATGTACGACAAACACAAACACTCAGTTTATTAAAAAAACAAAACAAAACACCACGTCAAAAATGTTTACCCGTTCCCTGTTTTTCCTCTTGCAGTTTTCCCTGGGATGATACTTCAGTTGCTTTGGGAAAATAAAAATTTGTGTATGCTCATTACTGACTATGAGTGCATTTGCAGTTGTGAAATGATAGCATAAAGGCATGCAGAAGTGCACGAGCCACTAGCTGGAATTGAACACTTAGCCCACTGTAATAGTTTCTTAATGAGTTCCTCGCCATATGCTGCTTTGATTAAATGTCTGGGCCTTTCAATAAATTAGCCACTCCATTTGTTAGAGCGGACAGCTCCCGAGTAAAAGACAATGCATCGAGGGGGGAAGGTACAGTGCCAATAAAGATGGCTGACTCCTTGACGCTCCCTGGAGCTAAAGTCATCACTCTTATTGTTCTGTCCTTTGCCTTTATTCTTCTGAGAAACAGGGCTGTCACACAATATAAGATGTTACTGTTAAAGGATCTTTTTCCTCAATGGAGGTCAATCAGGAACAAAATGGAATATTTCTTAAAAGAAAAGAAAAACTAAGTTACACAGTTTTAACTTGTATCGATTCGACACCCAAGTGACTGTGTTGATAAAAGTAAGATCTTCATTTTCAAATCCTGGTCAAACTGTTTACACTGGAGACATACAGAATAAATAGACATGGAATAAATAGAACAAAATCATTCCCTTGCTGGGTGGTACATTGTTCCCTGGTGACCATCATTAGCAGGTCCTACATGGGAGAATATTAGTTTTATATATAGGATCCGGAGAGGGTCCAGGATGTTCAAGGAATTTCTCTCTCTGGAAGCATACAGAAGGACATCGTCTTAAAGTCCATTCACCAGTCCTCACTATTGTCTAACGAACTTTCCATATTTGATTAATTATAGGAAAAGTCTGGAAAGCAGAATGATCAATGGATCATTATCTATACCTAAAACTAATATGTCCGTGAGGATACAATAAAATTAGCATTAATCAGTAAAATCTTATAACTGAGCCTGGGAGCGGCCATTTTTCCCCAAATATAGTAAAACCGGACTCCTGATATCTTCCGGCAGTGACGTCACGGTGTGGTAAGCCTAGCGCCATTCTCCTCGCTTTACAAGCAAAATCAATGGGAACTACTAGACACATCTGCAATCAACAACAATTATTGAAGATTTCCAGAGGACTTCACCATTGAAATTCACCAGAGCTATAGTGAAACTGACAATGCCCACGTGCATTGCAGTTGGATGTTCGAATACATCGGGTAAAAGGGGGAAAAAAAAGTTATTCCACCTTTCTGATTCCTGATCCTCCACGGACGGGTTCCTCGTTGGATTGCCAACATGAAGGAGGATTTGCCATCTAACTTCTGGCCAGAGAAAAAACCCGTAATATGTAGCCAACATTTGGAAGAAGAATGTTTTCAAGATGACTTGGATAATAGCTCGTTGTGACAAACACCAGATACAGCACTGGGACTTGATCAACAGCTGATACCGCACCGTGACGTTACAAACCAGTAGGTGGCAGTAGTGTTCTTTGACAAACATGGATGCCTCCAGTAAAGCACATTCAAATGAAATTAGTCTTAATTAAAAGCCCTTATTGTTTATTGGACAGGATGTAATAATTTTATATTTTAAGTACTTTCAGAAGTTTGAATTCTGAATATGACCAAACTGTTCCTTTAACAATGGTTTAATACTAAAGATGAGTTATAGAGAAAGGGTTTTATGCTACAAACAGATAGTTAGAACAGGCTATCTGTCCGTCTCGCCCTCTTGGTTTGCGGGAAAGGCCTAGGACAACAGACCAACAGGGAGAAGCTTCCTTCTTTACTCAGAGATTAATTCATCTCATTGCCCTGAGGCAAAATACCGCCAATTTGCATATCACTGAAAATGTTAAAAGTTTCCTACCATTGCAGCTATTTGAGATTTAAACATCCATAGTTATGCATCTAAGAGTAAAATGAGAACTGTCCATAGAAATTGTGGAATTGTTCATCTGAACTCTAAACCTTGCATGCGGGTCCATGTAAAAATGACTATAGGCATGTCTTTTGGGGATTGTTGTCAGATGCCAGCTTGTCCCCTCTTTTAGCAGAATAAACGACTTTTTATTTCTGATGCAGCTGCTGGTTGACATTCAACAGTGGGTGAGCTCTGCAACAGGTGCTAACCTCGCTGTGTCTGTCTGCAAGGATTATCTCCCTCGGCCATTTGGAGGCAGGAGCAGATATATTTCCATAGAGAAGCTGTCAGATCTTATGGTGTTTGGAAAAAAAGATGTCTCAAATCCTTTCTCTTTTTGACACACCCCCTTTTATTTTCCTGCTGTTTGTAGCATCTGTGTTTTATGTAGCCGATTTTAAGTAAAACCTGCTGTTTTACTGTTTATGTTGTTCTCATTTATCATCACCTATAATCAAAGCTGGCAAAACATGCACCAATGGGGAAGCCCATCATGTGTATTGAACTATGTTTGCCAAATTCACACACACACGCACGGATTTTTTTTTTTTCTTTACCAAAGCAGTTAACAGTGTTTCCTTCCTTTTCTCTGTGTTTTTTGCAGGTTACCTTTACGTTACCTGTCTCATCCAGAATTGTTCAGACAAGATGGTGACTGCCCAGTTTCTGGGGAAAATTGATCACAATTCGCTGCTGGTGCAAGATGACTACATATTTGTTAAGGTATTTATACCCCCAAAAATCTATGGGTTCAGACATACATGTAGGCTACGTTCACACTGCAGGCTTTATTGCTCAATTCCGATTTTTTTTTTGTCAAATCCGATAATTTTGGCTTTGCCTTTCACATTTCCAAATATGCGACTTGTATGTTATCTCCTGCATGAACTGCATTCAGACAATGCAAGTGTTCTGCATGCGCAGTAGAGGAAGCAATGATGTCACAAGCAAGCATGCTCTGTTGAGCCCATCTAGTGGCCTTTCCGAAATTAAAAAATTACATCTTTTCAAGATGGTTAAAAAAGACTGCTCTCCGCATCGTCATCTGCCATGGTTGTTGTTTTTCTCCCTACTCCAGCCTAGCCAGACACAGAATAGGGACCTTTGTTGAGTATAAGGGGTGTTAAGGTCAGATTAATGTGACCAAGCCGTTCAGACACAGATCTAATTTGAAATGATCAGATTCGTATCAGATTCAGGACCACATAGCCGAGTGGCCTGGGTCGCATTAAAGAAAAATCGGATGTGTGTTGTTCAGACTGTCATGAAGAGATCAGATACAGGATACAGATACAAGAAAATCATATTTCAGTCACTTCAGGGTGCTGTGTGATCATATTTAGAAGGTAAGAATAAAAGGTTACAAAAAAATCAAATATTAGATAATATATAATTGAAAAAAATAAACAAATTTTCCTTCTTCCTGTATACAGTGAACAAACCCAGTTGATATAATTTAGTAAATCCAAGTTGTGCCATCACAAATCGAAAGGGTTACAGCATGAAAAACAGCAGCAAGCCCTTCATGTTTTCTATAGATATAGATAGATAGATAGATAGATAGAGAGATATATATATATATAGATAGATAGATAGATAGATAGATAGATAAAAATAAGGCTTGATTTGGATTTTCATGAATGACATAATTAACAACAGTTGTTTGCTTGACAGTAGTGCTGTGAGACCAACATGACTTAACTACTCAGTAACTTTGCAAAACAGTCTTGACGTAATTAACATTTATAATATCATGACCAGCAATTTTTATGAAATTTTTCATATTTTATTCTGAAGGAGGCCAAAAGTCATATTTAGGAGTGTGTCTAATGTGTGAAGAAATGCTAGCACTGCAAAACTGAGGGGCTACAGACCACTAGGGGGAGAGGACTGATTATCTGTTAATATCGGCCCAGAACTTAAACATTGCTATGATTTAGTGCTTATTTGATGCCATTCAGCAGAAGGGAGAGAAAAAAAGATAAGTTTTCCATTAATCTTTTAATATATTTAATCTCACTTATAATCACGTGTAGGGAGTTAAGAGAGTTGCAGGGTAGTGGTTAGGGCGTACAGCTTGGAATCCTGATGTTCTGCCCCACTCCCACAGACTGCCGCTCTGGGTCTCTGAGCAAGATCCTTAAAGGAATAGTACACCCAAAACATGATTAGCCTTCATTTTCTACTCACCCCCATGCTGAACAACACTCTGGAGTAGACCAAACCAGATGAAAGTGCGCATTCAGCGTCTGCTCTGCCGATAATGCAAGTGAAGAAGAAGAAATGTGCTGTTTACCTGTGCAAAGAAAGAAACAACGAAAGAAAAATGTCTGAGGACTTCAGTGTTGAGGAAGAGCATGAGTTCTTTGCCGAGCTGAATGCGCACTTTCATCTGGTTTGGTCTGCCGCGGTTTCCGTAGACTCGTGAACGCGCTTTTAGGAAGTCCTATACACTACTGTTTATGCTCTAAAAACATTCTAAATGACTTCGTTTCGAGTAAATTATGGACGCTACCAACTCAGGACACTTGGAATACATTGGACGAGCAGTATGGAGGAATATTGACACGTTTTTTGTGGACTTTTATGGACCTTTCTGTCTCGGGTGCCATAGACCTCCATTATTTGAATGTCAGCAGACAGCAAGAAGCCTCCCAGATCTCCAGATGCATTTGAGATATCAAAAAAGTACTCCAGAGTGTTGTTCAGCATGGGGGTGAGTAGAAAATGAAGGCTAATCATGTTTTGGGTGTACTATTCCTTTAACTACTCAGTAACTTCACAAAACAGTCTTGATGTAATTAACATTCATAAAATCATGACCAGCAATTTTTATGAATTTTTTCATATTTTATTCTGAAGGAGGCCAAAAGTCATATTTAGGAGTGTGTTTAATTCAATGATTTTCCTAATGTGTGAAGAAATGCTAGCACTGCAAAACTGAGGGGCTACAGACCACTAGGGGGAGAGGATTGATTATCTGTTCATATCGGCACAGAACTTAAACATTACTATGATTTAGTGCTTATTTGGTGCCATTCAGCAGACTTCTGAAGGGAGAGAAAAAAAGATAAGTTTTCCATTAATCTTTTAATATATTTAATCTCACTTATAATCACATGTAGGGAGTTAAGAGAGTTGCAGGTAGTGGTTAGGGCGTACAGCTTGGAATCCTGATGTTCTGCCCCACTCCCACAGACTGCCGCTCTGGGTCTCTGAGCAAGACCCTTAACCGCTGATTGCCCTCTGGGTGCCCTACAATAGAAGCCCACTGCTCCCCAAGGGGATGAGTTAAATGCAGAGAGTTAACTTTTCCAATATGACATCAATAAAGTTCAGTTATTATTTATTATAATTATTGTATGCCTTTAATGAGGGTCTGGGCCCGTATGTGATGATGCGTGACAGTGTCCCTCTAGTGGTGTTGATGAGGACTTCTATAATTAGATGCTAGTTTGCACATTTTCTTAACTTGCAGTTTTTTTGTCTACTTGCAGCATTTTTCATTTGCCTGTTTGTATTTTTATTTATCTTTTTTGCTAATAGCTTTTCCTTATGAGAGATGATTCAAGTATATTTCTTTGCAAATATCAGGATTAAACCTTTGTTTTTTTTTAAGGTAATCACTTTGCAGAATAATTCAGCTAGCTGTCTGATTCTTTTTTAATAAATACCAAAGATAAATGAAAAAAACAAAAACAATTTTGTTCAAACCATGCAATATTTACTTACAGCAAAATGTAGAATACTGCAGTAAACAAATAGCGCATTGAGCTTTGTTTCATTGCCTTGTTTTCCATTTCCTGCACTGAGACAAAATTAGAACTGCAGTGCAATGCAGATAACAGCTTCTCCCAAACCTTTCCACATCCCCGTGTTAATTTTACTAATGAGTTGATGTGAACTTAGCCATCTCTGTAATAACATTGCTAATAATGTCTTTAAAAAAAGCGCCTCTTAAGCCTCAATCTTAATTGTTATTTTTCATAGCTTGTTTCGTGTCAGACAAGGTGTGTGTTTATTTGTAAGTTAATTATTTAACTTGCTGACATTTTTGTAGATAAACTCTTTCTTCTCAGATGACACATCCTCTGGACTTTGCAAGAAATGGAAAGTAATTGCTATTCTGGGATTGTGTGCAGAATTAATTCCCTCTATAATAGACTTGCTATGCTGTGTATAGTAAACCATGCAAAGGCCCAGAATTGAATCCCATTTGCATGTGTTAACAGGAGAATACGTATACATGTAATATAGCAGAGCTGAGTCTGTTTAATGAGATGATTTAGTCATATATACAGTAGTTCATGTATACTGTGTCTCATTCTAAGTTTATGGGTTTGTATATCTTTTTTTTTTTTTTTTTGCTTGTTAGAATAAAATAAAAAAATATTATAGGGATGCAACAGCCTATATGCATGGTCATCAGGAATTCATCCAGTTCCTCCTATTATCACTAACAACCATGGACACTTTGCTCGTAAAAAATAAAAATAATGGGATCCTTCAGAGTGGGAAGCTCAGGAAAAAGACAAATTCTCTTTAAGCAAAATAATATGTATTTTCAGATGGAAATGTTCAAAAATATATATCATCAAATTAAATCGAAAGATATGTAATGGGCATCATCTGTATCTTCCTTTGTAACGAATTTTCATTTAAATCTTAACATTGCCCAGCAATTTTAGTCTCTAGAGGAAATAATTTCTCAGCAATTTGCCAACTACAAAGCACCAATAATGTCAATAGATCTGAAAACAATGGGGAGTATGTTCTTTTAGTTTCATAATAGCTATTATGTTCCCTGAATACTACATGACATTACTGTATTATAAATTATCATAACAGTGATCCATCTCGGTGGTATTTAACATTTTAAAAAGAAGTCTTACATACCTGAATAATAGGCACCCTATTGCAAGGACAGGGTGTCTTTAGTTTTACAATCTATATCCTGTATCCTTTAAAAAGGATGCTGTGAACATTTTATTTTTGGACAAAAAACGTATGAGCCTACAGAACTATTTAAAAACAACGAATAAAAATAGATTCACTACTTTGTTGTAATATACACTTCAGTTCAAGCACTTCAGTGCAAGCAAGCAGGGTATATATCATCAGTTCTCAGGTGAATATACAGTAGTGTTGCACCGATTCCAGTATCAGGTGGGGCCCCAGTCCATCAAATTGTAGTATCGGCGAACACCAACAAATAGGGCACTGATACCATTTTGAGAGCCAAACGTTTATTCCACTATTGTCCCTATTCCAGGTAGGCAATAAAAAGTTCTACTGGATTCACTTTGTATTAGTCTTTTTCCTGCTTCACAAAGGTAGGCAACTGCTTGACAAAGCCATGATGGCAATTATTTTACATCCAGGTAGTATGCAGTTCTTTATATACACACACACATCAATTTCAAACAGATGGTATCGGTATCAGCCAATACTGCAAAGCCATTTATCGGGTATCTGTATCGGGGGCAAAAAATTGCATTGCTGCAACACTAATATACTGTATGCGCTTATTAATTAAACTTCACAATAACACTATTGTCATGACCGGTTTACGAATCTGACCCACATGCAGAGAAACCACTCAGAGAACAAGGGAAAAGTTTATAACAAGGTTTATTGAGGTGATCGAACAGGAGTTGGATCTGGAACTCAGTGAGCTGGTAACCCGGAACTGGAAGTGAGAAGGGAAGTAGGGTGGTCAGTTCAGGAACCGTGGGAATCTTGGAAGCACTTAGTTTAGCAAGAAGGGGACTCACATTTGAGGGGGGCCTTGTTAGTCGTTGAATCCAGTCTGTGTGGTAAATCCTGAGATTAGTGCACACGTTGGAGGGCGGACGGGTTGACAAGCGTTGGACCCAGAGAAGTAATGCAGCGTCAGCTGGTATGAACCTGAGTCACTGTGTTTATCTCACACGTGACTCTATTAGCTCCAAAATCATTTTACGCAAACCAGAAGGAAATAATTAAATTATTATATTTAAACGTTATTGAACAGTTCTCCACATTTCATTACACAAAGAACACAAGATCAAAATAGATCAAAGTGCAAAATAATGCTCTCTAAAACACTATGGTTACGTTAAACTGCATGAATAGAAAGAATATGAAAGTGCTCGGTGGGAACATGTTCCTACTTTGAACTACAGGCAGGGTTCCCTGGTTACACACTAGGTTGAGTTGCAGGTGCTGGGGCTGTCGGTGTTTTCTTCTTCACTGATGATGGTTTTCCAAAAAAATCCGAAATTAATTTCTGTGCCGTGTTTTCTCCTTGTTTCTGTCATTAGACTATGTAAATTTACTAGTCTGCTGCCACAAGCGGGATACCTCGGCCGTTTCTCAATTCACTAGAACACGAGTACAGACGTGTGTCCTTCCCAAGTTTGTTCTTGAAAAGAACACAGGAAAGTGTGGACTTTCAGCATAAATATGGGTCACTTGGAACAAGGGCGTACTGATGACGTCACCACACGCTCTGCTCGTCTAGAGCTGCATTTCACATCCTGTTATTAATAGTCTCTAGATGATATCAAATGAACATTTTGCCAATTAAAACAAAAAAATCATCATCAGAGCAAGCAGTCCTTCATATACGGCTATGCAGAGAGAGGGCTGCTGCAGACGGGCTGCGGTTAGCCCTGGCTGCCGTTAGCCTCGGAGCTCCGCTGGTTGCCGCAGTCGTCTCAACTTCTGAAATTTATTTTGTTAAATTACACATTAAATCAGTCAATGGGCCACATAGTAAAGCTTTAAAGTATAATATTCACTTCTGACACTGATTGCAACAATAGAGACCACCTACCCCTGCTACATGTTACTCTTATAGGGAAGTAATGTTTGAGGTACATCAAGGTGCAGTATTGGTGCCTGTAATTTTTATATATATATACAGACATATTCTTGTCATCAGTAAAAGAAAGAAAAAAATGATATAGCTGGTCTGGTTAGGTTACCATTTTCTACTTCTGCATAACAGTTATAATAACTGTTTTTTGATTAACCTATTTCAAACAATCTAAATGATGCTTAACGAACTAGCCTTGAAGAATTAGAGCCTTGACTTTATATAAGCTTGTATAATTTGTTAATATATGGGCCAGCTTTCCACACAGAATGATGCTATTTACTGCTTGGTGTTATTTTAGCAACACACTTTGTTTAGTTATCAGTTTTAGAATCAAACTTATGTATAATTTGGTCAAAATTTCCCTCATTTGTCTCTTTGGTTTCTGTGACAGATTTAAACCCAACCTAAAATTACTTTTAACTTCACATGATTCTATGGTGATGCGCTTGCTTCTCAGCTTTCTTTACGTTATATTTTACTTTGAGAAAGGCTCTTTTATTTGATCCTTTATTTCCACTAAACAAACAAAAAAAAAAAACTTGGAAACCTTACATGTTTTTTTTTTCCTGTTTGTTTTTTTACCCAAAGAACATTTTACAGATTACACTTTTTTATTCTATTTCTGTTATTTCTATAACAGAAATATGCAGTGTCAAAGCAAATAATGAAGCTTAGTTGCTCTTTATCATTCTGCACTTCCGGCTGCTCTTCATATATACACTCCCTGTTGGAAAACTCCACCAGTACCTCCGTTCTTCACCAGATTTTGTTTTTACAGTCACCTTTATAACATTTTTAATTACTCTTCAGTATTCACAAACATTCCTCTGCTTTTCAGCTCTCTTCAGTTAAAGGTCTTGGTTCCTATCACCGCTCTGAAATAAGGTGACAAAGACAGATATGCAAAAACAAGAAGGAAGAAAAAGAAACAAAGTTACATTTAATGTTTTTAAAAACACTGACGTATCCATTAGATTAAAAAGGGGATTTTTAAATATTAACTCGTGGCAAAAAAGGAGGTATGCACAACATGCAATGCAGGGCTCGATGTTAACCATCGCCCAATCTCCCGGGGCAAGTAGTTTTTATTGTTGGGAGAGTAAAAATTTCATTGCATTTGCCTGCCGGGCAAGTGCAAAGATCGCAAAAAAAAAAATTATTTATCACTCAAAATTACTTTAAAAGCACCGACATTCGATGAAAACGACCCAGAAACGTTGCCGGCGCCATTTTTGTTGTTTTGTACACATTCTCGCATGATTTGAAAAAGCTTGATTTTCCGTCAGATGGCGTGATTTTTGTTCACCTAGCTGTAATTTTGATTTAGTTACCAAAACAACAAACGGCTGCATTTATTTTGTCAGGGAAAACTTATCCTGAGTCAGTTAAAAGTCAGGGAATTCTGAAATGATGTAAAACTGTGGAAAACCTGTATAAAATAACTATTTATAATGATTCTCTAGAAAAGTCACATTATATTAATAGTATTATCTTCTATAAACATACCGTGACTCTAAAATAAAAGTTATTCATTTGTGACATTGACTTCTGTCTTATGATTTATCTTAAGTTTTTAAACCGTCAAGTTTTTTTTTTTGATTTTTAACATAACAATTTATATTTTTCCAAGCAAGCAACATTTTAAAGCAAAGTTTAGTTTTAAAAGAATGTGCAGGAAGGATTGAAAAGCATGTTAACACGGTAATGTAGGCTTGAGTTCATTATCTGACGCATGCAGATACACACCAGGAACCTGGAAACTTAAAAAATACTGAATTACAAAAAACATTTAAAAAACAAACATGTTTCATCGATATATATACAAAAATGAATATTAGGAACTATATTTATCAAACGTTATACTGGGCAAGTAAAAATTGTTTCCGGGCAAATGAAATGTGAAAGTCACTTGCCCAAAGGGCAAGAGGTAAAAATCCTAAATGTCAACCCCTGCAATGGTATGAGAACTTATCATTTAAGATTTCCCATGTTCAGCTTTAGTGTGCTGTCGATTTGTACAGAAGCCAAGAGCGGTCGTGTCCCTCTGTTATTTTTTCACGGTGGTTTTCTCGAGAAACCAAGTAAATTTTCTCATTATCTAGAGATAACAAAAGCAGTGTTTTCGTGGTAATGAGTTGATAATTTTCTCATTAGAAAGCCGTTTTCTCGTCATAACGAGATGATTAGTGTGTCTTAAAACTGATTACAAGTTTCAATACCAGAACAGCGGGAGAAGATTTATAAATCTAAGTCTATGTGTAATAATGTAAACAATCCTGTGTTTAACTTGTAGGTAACGATGTTGTTGGTTTGATGATTTGCTTCCACTTCTTATTTATTACTCTTACAGGTTAATTATCTCCTTATCTCAAGAAATCAATAACCATTTTCTCGTGATAATTGTCTTTTTATCTCAAGAAAAAAAATGTATAGTTTGATAATGTCATAACTATCTTGTTATCAACAAGATAGTTATGACATTATCTCTAGAAGGCAAAGAAAAAAGAAAGTTGAGTACGACCGCTCTTGGCTTCCGTAGACTCTGAAACATTGCTGCTTTTACGACAATTCCTCCAAAATAATTTGTGCTCTCAGGCTCAACTGGAGGGCAGTGAGGTTCATTTGTGTTTTTGTTATTTAAATGCCAAAGTCTCTGAAGTGCATGGGAATTTCTTTGAATTTATCTCTCACGATATGTATATGAGTCACAGATGAAAACAATTTTTAATCTTTTTCACCAATGAGCTGCCAAATGGATTATGTTTTTAATGTAAATTTCTTTTTCTGGATATAAGACTATTATTATTAGGATTTGATTAGATAACAATCTGCATTTTTTTGTGTTTGGATCTTGCTTATATTATCACTTCTTTTTTACTTATTGTATTTTTTCCCCAATACCTTTATAAGTTCCTTTCAGTCTGTTTGTTCTCCATTATTTAATGGATAGTCCTACATGAATTACTTTTTTATATTAATAATAATTGAAGCTAAATCAAGAAATTTGTTTTTGAATTTAAGATAATTTTACTGTATCTAAATGTTCATTTATATGACAAACATATCCTCGTCATGGACTTGTGTTCATATATGGTCTGCCTCTCTCTGCTTTCCATTGATTAGGTTACTACAGGAAATCGAACCAAGCACTATGTGTCCTATCGGCGTAATGAGTTCGTCCAGATGAAGTTTCCCAAGTACGCACTTCCAAAGGTAAAAACTCCATGAATTCCCTCTGTCACAACTGCTGTTTCTCTGGGATGACTGCTTGCAAATTGCTGCCAATTTGGCTTTCTGTGAATATTATTCAATACTAAAGACATTATTAAATTCAAGTCATAATAAATATAGCAAAGGAATCAAACTATTATCTGTTCCTTCATCTTTAAACAATTGTTTTCACCTATTTAGGATCCCTATAATAGCATTTTAAAGAAAAGTCTGGTCAGCAAGGAATGATCAATGGATCATTATTTATACCTAAAACGAATACGTTTGTTGTGAGTTAATGAATTTATCGTTAATCAGTAAAAAATTAAAAACATAAATTTTTGATGGGATCACTGAATCTGAGAGCAGCCATTTTTGCCGAAATATAGTAAAACCTGACTCCTGCCATCTTCTGGCAGTGACGTCACGGTGCGGTAAGCCTAACGCCATTCTCCCCGCTTTGCAAGCAAAATCAATGGGAACTACTAGACACATCTGCAATCAATAACAATTATTGAAGATTTCCAGAGGACTTCACCATTGAAATTCACCAGAGCTATAGTGAAACTGACAATGCCCACGTGCATGGCAGCTGGATGTTGGAATAAATCGTGTAAAAGTGAAAAAAAAATAGTTATTCCACCTTTCTGATTCCTGATCCTCCACGGACGGGCTGGTCGTTGGATCGCCAACTTGAAGAGGGAGGATTTACCATCAAACTTCAGGCCAGAGAAAAAACACGTAATATGTAGCCAACATTTGGAAGAAGAATGTTTTCAAGATGACTTGGATAATAGCGCGTTGTGACAAACACCAGATACAGCACTGGGACTTGATCGACAGCCGATACCACACCATGACGTCACAAACCAGTAGGTGGCAGTGGTGTTCTTTGACAAACATGGATGCCTCCAGTAAAGCACATTCAGATGAAAATTACTCGTAATTAAAACACTTATCATTCATTGAAGAGTATGCAATAATTTCATATTAAAGTTCTTTCAGAAGTTTGAATTCTGAAAATGACCGGACTTGTCCTTTAAGGAAGAAGTAAATACACTCATAAGTCATAAAATAGTAAACCTTTTTTTTTTTTTTGGTGAGGGAAGGATTCTAATCATCCAATTATAATGGTTCAAAACTACTACTAGCCTTCTACAAACAATACTTAATTCACATAATTTGTAGGTTTCAAATTTTTTGAGCATTGACATTACTTGCTCCGGTTGCTTCTTGTTTTTAGTTTTTCTACTGTATTGGTTTCTTTCTCATGGGCCAGGTTTAAAAAAATCAAAACCTAAAGAGAAGGGAAAATTTTTACCAGATTGAGCTTTTGCCAATTTCCATCTGCAATTCCAGAGCAAATGCAAACAGCATTAAAACACATATTACTTGATATAACCTCTGAAGCTGTGTAGCATTAGTTCATCATTACTAACATTATTATGACAATCAAAATTAGCATTAATGGACTAGAAATATGTTTAATTTGAATGATAATTATAAATTAATCTGATTGTGCTATATTCAAGTCCCAGTATTTTATTGGCTTATTTAATTACAGCATTTGAATCAGATCCCTCAGTTTCTTCAGCAGTGCTGCAGTATTGAATGGAGACTTTGCATGAAACTTCTTTAGTTTGCTATAATAACTATTGTTTGCTGGGCTATGGTCCGGTTGTTTGATATATATATTTCACCAAATATGCTCTATATTTTTTCAGTTTTTTGCGGTTGGTATTTAAATTTTAGTTTTTGTAAGTGGACTATAACTCACAACACAGTCATGCGTGTGACAGTAATTTCTCCCGTTGGTCAGAAATGACTATAGCAGGACCGGGCTCAGACCCAGAACTGAAGAAAAAGCTATGGGAGTCTCTTTTACCTATTTGTGGTTTATTACAGCTGCAAAACGATTGTGTATCTGAAGCAGCTTATTTTAACATAAGTTTTAAGTATTTCTATTTCAAGTTTTGTGACTGTGTCAAAGAATGTGTCCTTCCAGCTGAGGGAGATTTAGCACATGGTGGAAGTGTTGCTAAGCAACAGACAATGGAGCTGGTATAACTTAATATAACGTTTACAATACAGGTGACTTGCTAAAACCAAATGCAGGTAAGCTGTTTAAACTTTTTTCCAAAAAGTTAAAGACCACTGGATTTTGTTTCCAAGTTTGAAGACCTATCGCTTCCCATCCAGGTAGCTTTCTCAATTCAAGATGTCTGGATTTGCATTGAGTTCCAGGCTTTTATAGAGTAGCCCAGCAAAGGCTTGTAATGGCTTAGAAAATATGCACATTGGAGCTGGAAAACCATCTCCACTCCTTCATAATGGAAGTCGTTGAGGTCGTTATTGGCCTGGAATACCTGCTACTGGCCAATCCCTCTGAAAAGGCAGTCGTTAAGGGTCATCATTGGCCTGGCTGACCTGGCGAGATATTTTGTTCCCCTGCATAGCGATGGGGGTTGAGGTTGTATTGGGAAGGAAACAACTGTATCACTGTGTTTCTTCCTAATACCATCTCACAGAATGGGTCGCATTGTCATGAAAAAATCAGATAAAGGTCGCATATGGGCAAAAAAATCGGATTTGGGGCACTTAAAGCTGCAGTGTGAACATAGCCTAAGTGTTCCAAATTAGTTGTGTAGGGTGATAGAAAAAAAAAATGAAAGTTATACTTGTTTTCTTTAACTTCTTTTTCTGTGGGTATACCACAAGTATAAAACAATGTACAAAAGAAAAGTAAACGAGGGGGTCTAATACGAGTTCTACTACTTTTTTCAGGCACCCTCCATGGATAAGTATTCTTCAGGTTTTTGCAGAAAGCTGAGAGAAAATTGTCTGTAAATTTTACTCACAGTGATTCAGTTAACATCTTGCAATCAATCTCTCCAAAGTCATGCACTATTTCTTCAGAGTCAAGCATTGGTTTAGTGCTTGCCCTCAAATAAATCATGGCACTACCCCGACAAGTGATGCATGGCATAAAATATTAACACTTGGGCGTCAATCCACTTGTGTGTTGTGTCACTGACATAGGCAGAGACGATAAATGAATTTGTCTTCAGTCCAAGGTTGGAGAGGAACTTTGCTGTCAGACACAGCAGCACAGGGGGTGTTTTAATGCAACATGACCCAGAGTGCTATTGACCTATGCTGATGACATGCAGAGCCTGGGGAGATGTTTCATGTATTTTTAAACCTCAGAATAAGAAAAGAGTGGATCATCACCGCAATCGATGGTCTTTGGCACAAATGCCTAGTTCTTCCAATGTATAGAGTTACTCTTTACTGACCCAAGCCCCCTTCTTAGACTGCTAAACTGCAATGGTGGTTTGGCTGCCGTTTCTCTAGGCACTCAAGGAGCCGCAAGTAAAAAAAAAAAAAAACTTGTCAGTTTAGGTGTATTGGGTAGATGGTGGATGAATCACTTTATGCATCAGCATGTGCATAAATGTGTGTTTGTGTGTGTTTAGTTAAAACACGCCCTAGTTGCTCTATTTTACTTGTCTTGACTTTCTCCACATGTGTCTTCTTACTTGGTTGAGCAGATAGGTCACAGTTTGCAAAGCTTTTAGGGAGAGCGACATGGGGTAAGGTGCTGGCAGTGGCACACGGGCCTGAGGAGAGATATTGAAGGGAGAGATTTGGGCAGAGCGTTTGTGCGGGGGGTCAGTGTTTTTGGTGTTTTCTGTTGTGAATAATTGAAAATCTCGGGGAATGAAAAATGCAGAGGCCGTCAGAGAAAGCTGTTTGGCTCTGCGCTGTTAGACTTGACCCAGGTTATGGATTAACAACACACACACGAGGGCACATGCACAGAGTTTGTTGGACTGTGAAATCACAGGTAGTAATTGTCCCTTTTCTGCTCGGCTTCCACTTTTTTTTTTTTGCTGTCCAGCTGGGATGTAATCAGCTTCACATTTTTTTGCTTGATTTGTTCATCCAACAGTAATCGGAAGCTTCAGGCAGAGTGTAATATATCTAGCATACCTAGAACAATAGAAAACATCCATCCATCTTCGCCCACTTCATCCGTCAGGGTCATGGTGGGGCTGGTGCCTCCATTACAGCAGTCTATGGGTTAAAGGCGAGGTACCCCCTGGACAGATCACCAGTCCAAGGCAGCATTAGAAAACAGATCTATCATATTCATTGTTTCGGTAAGGAGCTTATTTTCTCTCATAATTTATAGAATGAATTTTGTTCCCTTATAGTTGCAAGCAAAGAGCATGTTTTTGTAAATGGAAATCTAAAAAAACAAATACAATCCAGAGGTAAAACTTCTTTTCATACCTGCCTTTATTTGCAAGGGTCATCCAAGAATTTGACTTGCCTCTATCGGCATGCAGTATTAGCAACTTTAGCAGTCACTATGCTCCATTTACCATTTTCTCCTCCAAAGGAAATAGCAAGTTGATGCCATCTTTGACTAATAATTGCCTTCCATGAATGCCATAACTTAATACATAAGACCAAAATGGTGCTTGTGGGCTCTTTCTCTGGTTTTAGCAAAGACACTGGATTCTCTCAGCAGAGCGACACTCACATTAAATCTGGTTCTGCTGGAGCGTGCTTCTGTAGGGACGTAGTTAGCGCACACAACCTATGTATGGAGGCCTTAGCCCACGACGCCAGGTTCGAATCCGACCTGTGATCCTTTGCCGCAGGCTATAATACCCCCTTTCCTGTTAGCCTACCGTCCAAAAATGAGCCACTAGTGCCATAAAAAAGAAAAAAAGTCTGATACTGATGAACATTTCTTCCATTTATAAACAGTTGATCGATTGTCAAATGCCCATCAATGAGGGGGTTTTGAAAAGTAAATGGCTAGATGAAATTACCTGAGTTTTTTCAGATAAAAAAATAGACTAAATGAATCAATAAACCAAATCTGTCTGGGTGATTTGGTTAAGTTTTCTCTTTAGAGTGCCTTTAGATGTTGTAAACTGATGCTACAGTATGTCAAATGAATTGAATTGCCTTTAAAAATAAAGAAAGAA